GAGTGGAGACGTTAGACATAAACTAGGACTGCTCCTAGAGTTTGAACCTCAAAGCCAACCTTCCAAATAGCGATCCCCTCTTCTTCCCTTTATTTTTTCATCTAATTCTTGTGCCTAGATCACCGCTCTTTCATTTGTAGAATTATTTTCCTTAGTTCCTTGCACCTCATAATCATCTCAATCTGTAGAAAACTCTTTCATAATAGAATTTCTATCCAATTTAAGAACTAATTCGATATTTTTTGCCCTATTTCATCTTCTTGTTTCCCCCGATAACTCTCTTCACCTATTATCATGTCAAGTTGACTCCTTTATATTATATACATTGTGATGTGGGTGAACCCACAAACCCACCCGCATCATCCACCATCCGCCCGACCCAACCCGAGACTTAATGTGGGTGGGTGGTGGGTTAAAAATTATCAATCCGTTTAAGCGCGGGTGGGTGCATTTTATGGTCAAAATCTATCCGACCCACCAATGCCCACCCCTAACAAAAACCCATGGGTACCCATGAACCCGCGGGGTTGGGTTTGAGTTTTTCAAACCCAGTGGATTTTACCCCGAGTTTGTTCACGGATAAACCCATGAATTTAAGTTTGGGTTTGGGTTTGGAAAAACCCGATCCAACCCGACCCATTGCCATCCCTAAACAAGAGACATGTCAGGGCAGGGGGCATCCCAATTTGATTAAATGAGATGATAATTTTTCATTCCGAAATTGTAAAATCAGAATTTCGATCAAATCATATATCACAGACCCGAAGCGATAGTTTCTAACTAGTTCAGTGGATAAGATGACTGCGATCCAACTCACTCCAGAATGGACAGTAATGGTCCGCCGACAAACTCGTTTTGATCTTGGACGCAATACATTGAAATTCTGAAGCACCACCACGAACTTTGGGACTATCTGGTATTTTTTATAAATATGTGAAAAAAGTTCATAAAAATAGATGATTGGTGCATACAATTTTGTCGATGACCACAAAAAATAACGGGAGGTTTCTCATCATGACAAATGGTGGAAATTATTATTATTATTATTATTATTATTATTATTATTATTTAATTACATGAGCTATAATAACAACGCGTAGCAGCTTTACATGATTCTTCCTCTTTTTTCTTTTTTTTTTTTGTGTTCTTTTCTTCCGTTTCTTTTTAGCAATGATTATATATATATATATTTTACATTTGTTATAAAAATAAATTACATAAAACATGAGGGGAAGGCAGAGATTCCCGAAGTGGTGAAAGATTTGGCCACAAAATCTTGTGGTTGTGGTTGGGACACCTGAAGAAGCAAACCCTCAACAACCAGGAACATTTTCTTGCTACCCAGCTTTGGAACAACTGAGTCCATATATACCAGATATGGAAACTGAATGCACAGTTCCAAAACTCACTTCATCATCTTCTCCTCCCACACAAGTAAACCTTCTTTGCCCTTTTCAAGCAATCAGGTTTCCTAGCTGCCTGCCTGCACTGGCTCCCAAGTCCCAGCTGTTGGAATATATTCACTAAAGTAAAGAGAATCCATCCTAGCTAGGGCTAGCTGATCGCTGATCCATGGAGCTTTGGGGTGTCACGGGAAACCCTAAAATTTCGGAACACGATTATTCAACCCTGATAGTAGTTTACATATCAATAAAAAAATATTTACGTGGTAGCAGGACACTAGTAAAATTTGCAAAAACGATTATCTAACTCCCAATAGTAGTTTGCGTATGGGTAAATCAAAACATTTAAGTGTTAGTCTATGTGATTTGAACTTGGATAGTTGATACTATAAGTAAACACATTTTTCATTATAGTACAACTCATTTGTTTTTGTATTTTTATATCCAAATATTATAGTAAAAAGCTTTTTTTATCTCCAATTATTTTTAAAAGCTAACGATTAAACCTAATCACGGGCTTCCCTTGTCTAGTAGGTTATATTAAGAGTTGTTAGACAACTATTGTATTTTATAATTTTTTAAAATACGAACACGTCATTTGCTTTGTTGTATTTTGTGTAAATCAGGTATTTTGTTATTTAATTATTAATTTAATTTTGAGAAAAGAACACCTCAATATAAAATTTTTGGATCCGCCACCGCATCTACTATACTATTCTTTTTTTGGGTAGAAACTACTATACTATTCTAATAGGAGACTATTCCAATTAATGTAGGATTATTAAGTTGCATAAAATAATTAGAGATATGAATAATAAGGTTGTCCTGTCCTGTCCTGCTGCAGAGGGCAGGCCATTAACCTAGTAATATATATCATACATAATGCACATTAATGGATTAAATAAAACCATTTAAAAGAAGAAGAGAGAATTCTGTTACGTTGGAGAGAGAGGGAAGGAGACGCACAATTCTGGAACACAGGCTCTGTGGCTGGTTGAACAAACTGAGTCAAATTAAATGCAGAATGCAAGCAGAGAAGAAGAGGTGGGGATGGAGTGGACTGTGGCGCTGCTTCGGCCTTGCATTGCACACTTACACTTACACACAGCAGCACCAGAAAAACCTATGCCAGGCGCGCGAGGCCATTATTTCATTAATTAACCTGCTTCTTCTTCTTCTTCTTTGTTTTCCCCCCTGGTTTGGAACTTTGAAACATTCAAAGGGTTGGGAACTTGGGATTGGGGAAGTATATAATTAAGTACTTCGTAGATGGCAAATAGGAAAAAGAAAATGAAAAAAATAAAGACAATGACTGTAATAAATAGAGAAACAAGAAGCAGAAAGGAAAAGACAAAAAAAGAAAAGACAGCACAAAGGTGGGATGAGTTAGGGCGGTGGGGAGAATGGAAGCATGTAAGCTTTAATCAAAGGCAGCAAAATGCCCAAATTAAAGAATCCCACATTGAATGGACGCAAAGGCAAAACCCAAATGCCATCCCAACAACAACATTTCTGTCCCAAAGAAAAGAAAAGAAAAGAAAAGCATACATGGATCCAGGAGCACTAGCTTGAACTTTGTATTGTAGCTGTGCCTGTGAAACCAACGAAATGTTTTTATTTATTTATTTATTTATTTTCGAGTGATATAAAAAAAGCAGAAGAGTTATAAAACAAAACTATTCAGGAATCCTTTACAAACGACACTTTAGTGAACCCACCCAAAAAGTCAGAAAGAATCTAATTCTATAAGAGGCAATAGCAGTGCTTTACGTGCTACTCTATGGGCAGCACTGTTGGCCGCTCTAAGAACCACCCTAAACTTTATACAAATTGACTAAGAGTCTAGGATCTAACGACACTCTTTGAGTATCGGACCTCCAAAGGAACCTTCTAGGTCATCTTGCCGGAAATAGTTGACGATCACTTCGGTATCACCTTCCACTATCACGTGAGTCAAAGATCTTGAGGCGACAATGGTGATAGCACAATGCAAGGTGTTGCTTTTCCCGTGTAATTTTAACGATTTAATACGTACACATAAGCATTTTTAGGGTAGAAAAGTTTGGTATCGGTATTTGGGATATACCGAATACAGTATCAAAGATGTCCATATATGGCATTTAAGGATTATGAGATTGAGATCAGTATATATATGTCGAAATACCGAAATATAAGCGAGTGTATTTTATCTCTCTCAACTTGACTCTCTCAACTCACTACTACCAGACCCTCCATCGCCAAGATGGTAACTTAATTACACATAGCTCTCATTCCCTCACTATTTGACAACTCCTACCAAGCCCATTATGTTACTTGTATAGTATGTTTATGGGTTGCTTAGTCATCCCATGTTTCATTTTTTTGCCTTAGTTTGTTAATGTGCTTCTTAGGCACCACATTTTTCTAGTGTGTTGTTATTATACTTGAGATTTTTCCCATATGTTTTGCATGAGTGTTGGTACCACATCATTGTTTGTTTTTACATATTTTGAGAATGATTTGTGGAACTAGTATATATATAAGTTATAACTTTTGAAGAAAATTAATTTAGTATTTGGTATATACCGATACCAAATAAAATTTTTGAATTTGAGATTGAGATACGGAATTTATTTTGGGACTGAGTTCATGACATACTATTTGATTTCATGATGTTGTTATTTAGTAATGTGATACCGATATCATACCTTATATCCACCCTTATCATTTTTTATAAAATTGTCACCGTTGCATGCATGTGTTAGATGGTTGATTTAATGAACATGAAAATTATCGTTGTATATCTCTAACTAATATAAGACAGGCGGTCCAACAATATGAAAGCATACTCTAGCTTAGGCGTGGATGCATACATTCCGGTTCAGCCTCCAAACAACTATAACCATCTAGCTACTCAATCTTCTTCATTCCTACCTTGAACATAGGCATGGAAATGGAAGTCAGAAAGAGATAGAGAATGAAATTTTTATCAAGATTAGGAAGAGTACCAGCTACCTAGCTAGGCAGGCAGCAACTCTCTATAACCCACAATTCTCTTCTTCTTCTTTCTTCTCCCCTCTCATGCTAGCAAATAGTACCGATGATGTAAGTGATAATACATTGGACATCGGAAAACCTTGGGAAGCGAAACCCACTGGTCACTGCAATGCTGCAGAAAACAAAGCAATGTTTTCTCTACACCACACAATCATATGCAATGCAGCAAGCAAGTAGCTGCAGGATAACTAAGCAGACAACAAAATGCCAAGGAAGGAACACCACATCTTCTGTTTTTTTTTTTTTTTTTTGCCTTTCTTGATTTCACATCACACCACTGGGGAATTGTTATTCACCCATTGAAAATGCAATTAATTAGCAAGATCAATATCCAATCTCCCTTCCTTCCTTCCACGTACCAGGCAGTAATAACCTGATATGTCTACAACTCTAACCCAGTGAAGAAAGGAATCCCAAACAAATGAAAACAAACCCTAACTAGAAACCCAAGTGACTTGTAAGATATCGAATTCGAACTCGTCTCAAAAGGTCTCAGTTTCGAATCCATCCTACCACCAAGGGCACTTCTTCAACAGGCTTTAAATCCTAATCAAAGCTTTCCTAATTCTGTAACTGAGGGGAAGGGTTGTTGTTGTTGTTGTTGTTGTTAGGAATGAGGCCGAGGGTGTGTTTGTTGTTATGCATCCAAACCTTAAGAACTTGACGTCTCAATCCCCACTCTTGACAGAACTGCTGAACCACCGCCTCGTCTTCCTTCTGAATCCGCCACCCAAGCCTCTCCGCCAGCTCAAACATCCGCTCCTTCTGCTCCGCCGTGAATCTCGTCCTGAACCTCTTCCTCCCTCCTCCTCCGCCGCCTCCGCTGCTGGGATTCGACCCACCCTCCACCTCCTGTTCCGACGCCGTCGACGGCAATGTTAGAGGCGGCGGCCTCCGCTTGTTGCTCCTCCCCGCGGTAGCGCTGGCGGCGCTGCTCCGGTAGTGAGGAGCGAATTGCTGCGGCCTCGGCGTCGCTGGCGGTGGGAGGTGAGGCGGCGGCGGGGGAGCAGGAAGAAGGGCGGCGTGGTGGTGGAAGAAGAGCGGCGGTGATGCGGTGGTGGAGTACTCCCCGTTTTCGAGGCGGTGGAAGTTGCGGTGGCAGGTGCAGGCGGCGCATTTGAGGGCGTCGACGGTGCCGTCTGGTCCGGACGGCAGGAACTCCCCGCAGCCGTCCACCGCGTGGGATCCGATCCCGACGGCCTGGTTCTTCAGGCACTCTCTGTACTTGCTCCTCCTCCTCGTCGGCGTCCCCGCCACCGCCGGCGTTTGCTCCTGTGCGCCGGTAGCGGTGCTTAATTTTGGTCGGGAGCTGGAGGGGCTATTATGAATATCATTGTTGTTGTTATTTCCTACCAAATCGTAGGTCGCCACAAACCTCTCTTCTTCATTAGCCTCTTCTTCGTCTTCGTCTTCCTCTTCGTCTTCCTCCTCTTCTTCTTGTTCGTGAAGATCTGGTTGATCCTCGAATTCCATTCTTCTTCCTGCTTCCACACTACTTCAACAATAGAAATCTCTCTCTCTCTCTCTCTCTCTCTCTCTCTCTCAAATTACCAGTCAAAATTTTTATTGGTTTGTTGGGGGTTCAGTTTGTTGGCTAATTCTTGTTCAGAGATACTAAAAAGAGAAGATAAGAGAAGAAGGAGTAACTCTGTATGTGTCTGAGAGAGACAGAGAGAGAGAGAGTTAGTGGGAGAAGAGCATGCCTCTGCTCCTGCCTCTGCCATTCACTTCTTTTTACTATTTCACTTCACAGTTGACACTCTCCCAGTAAAACTAAAAGCCAAAAGCTTTCCTACAAGCTAAGCTATTGTAATTGGCACAAAACTTGTACAGATTATGTGCTGATGTTTTTTCGTACACGAATTTGAGAGTACAGTAGGTGCAATAGCAATAATGGAAATTAAGATGATTTGGAGATGATCGTGTCGAATGTCACCATTCATAAAATCTGTTTTACCCTCTTTAAGAATGCGACCTACTAACCTGAAAAAATAACATGCAACTAGACTGAAAATGACAAGAAAAAATTCTTGGTAATTTGCCAACTGTCATGATGACTGGTAAACTTTTGACTGGAAAAGATAAACCCTACTTTGATTGACTGTGAATGCCTGTTTTATTAAAGAAGTCAGTAGCAATTTTCAGAGAGTTGATTTTTTTTTTTTTTTTACAGTGACGAAGAGGCTGCAAAAACCCGCAGTGCGTGGGTGAGTTCAGTGTTGGGACTGTGGAGACCATTGGGCTGTCTGCAGCTGTGGAGAAAGGGAGAGAAAGAGGAATATTAAATGATGCATTGTTGTTGTTGCTGCTTGGTGCTTGCTACAGCTCGTCGCAAAAACATAGCAAATTAAAGATGATAAATACAAAATTTTGAAAAGACAAAAAGGAAAAAGAAGGAATCAAAAGGATGCCACCCACGCGCGCTTAGTAGCGTGTATGATGCTTTTGGAGTTTTGTGATGTTAGCTATAGTTGGGACTAGGGCTGCAAATGAGCCGAGTCGAGTTTTACCCCAGTTTGAGCTCGGCTCGTTAATAAACGAGCCGAGTCGATCTCGAGCTAGTTTGTTTATTAAAATCTTAACTTTTATTTGGTACTTCATTTTGTATATCATGATACATATGATTTATTTTGTTAGTTAATTTCATCTTATACTTTGTTTGTATCAAATATCGTTTAGTTAATAAATTTTAACTACTCCAAATCATATTATTTCATTGTATCGAAGCAATCTATGATGCGTAATTTCTTTTTAAAGTAGAAAATAAGATATATTTGCTCACATACTCAACGTGCAAAATTTTATATATGGCGAGATATATAAATTAACAACCATATGAATTAAAATCATAAGATATAGATTGATTCGTCCATAAGTTGGTAATCGAGTTGGCTCTCTAGCCACATGTAGGGCTGTTAATCGGTGCGGTTTCGGTTTAACCGAACCGCACCGTCGGTTAGCCGACACCGAAAACAGGGTGTATTCCCCAACCGAAGCCGACACCGAAGGGAGGATCGGTTAACCGCCAACCGCAACCGTCGGTTTCGGTTTGAAGTGACGGTTGCTCTGAGACCGACACACAACAACTCCGACCACCACCGTCGATGTGCATGTCACCGAAAATCAGATCTGAGTCCGCCGCGAATTCGGAGCTGATTCCACCGCGAATCGAGGTAGATGGGGGAGGAAGGGAAGAGAGTGTGAGAGGAGGATCTGGATCTGAATCCGTCGCCGGAGGCACAAGGAGGAAGATCGGAGATCGAGGACGACGGCAAACGACGGCGAAGGAAAGAGGTTGAGGACGACGGGGCGACAATTGACGAAGAGGGAATCGCGTTGTGGACGGCGGAGAAGGATCTGCTTCTGCCAAATCGCCAAGGACAAACGGAGGAACACAGGAGGAAGAGGAAGAAGGACTGAGGGATGGATCTGCTTCCACGGTTCTGGATCGTGCTTCGAGAAGAAAGGAGAGGGAGAGATCGCCGGTCAAAGTTCTCGTTGTCGCCACCACGATCCTCGCCGTCAAATCTTTCCGCCAAATCTCACCATTAGGAGAGATAGAGGAATACAAGAGTATGAGGAAGAAGGGAATCACACCGAGGAAGGTGAGATTGCAGGGATTTGGAGAGTGACGAGTGAAGAAGGAAAGGTTTGGAGTTCAGGGAGACGTATGAGGCGTGATGGTGAGAGCAGAGAGGGAGAGTCTCTAGAGGTTTGCGGTTTTGGGGGTGCACCGAGATTATATCGGTGCTGCAACCGTCGGTTGCCGGTTAGCAAAAATCCCCAAAACAGCCAACCGAAGCCGACACCGAATCATTATTTTCGGTTATCGGTTCGGTGAATAACCGTGGTTTTCGGTTCGGGCTTCGGTTTAACCAAAAAACCACCAACCGATTAACACCCCTAGCCACATGTTAAGACATATCTTGAGCTTTAAACGAGTCAGCTCACAAGTTTAGCTCAACAAGCCACCGAGTCGAGCTAGCTTGCGAGCTTCACAAGCTGAACAAAGGTGAGCTCGTGTTTGGCTCGTTTATTAACGAGCCGAGTTTCGAATGAGCTTTTCTCGAGTCGAACGCCGAGCCGCTTGCGAGCAGCTCGGCTCATTTGCAGCCCTAGTTGGGACTTGGGTTGGGAATCATTTGTATGCAAATTTTAATAAGAGATTTGGGGATTTGAGTTAAAATTACTTGTTTTAAAATTCAAGAAATTTATACATATGATTTGTTCTAAATAACTCGTTTGGAATTAGATATGAGTTTTTTATAAGAAAAGTAAAATTTCTATTTTGTCCTTTCTTTGTTCATTGTTTTCTTCATTGTTCCGGCTGGTTTGCGTATTAGATTTGAAAATAAAGGTTTTGAGTTTTGAAATTTTTTATATTTATGATGGATTTGTTGCATTTTGCATTTGAAAGATAACACTGTTTGCTTAGTTGATTTTTTATCATGGATTTAGGTGATTTGATATTTGGGTCAAAAAATTTTGCATTCCATAACCAAATACCAAATGAAATGTAGTATTTGAAAATACGTGGATTCCACGAATTTGGAGCTAAAAAAATTGTCCAAATCTGTGGCCATATCGATTTGCATACCTTAACAAACAATGTTATTACCCAAAAACATGATGGTTATTTGAGGACCAAATCCAACATCCAAATCCCATTAGCAAACAATACCTAAGTCCCCATGAAATTAGACATACCTCGAGGGGGTCGTCCAAGACGCATGTTGTTACTGATGAGAGCGTCTCCGTAGCTTTTTCAGGGACCTAGTCATCGTCCTAAACATGGGCTTGCTCCATTCACTCCTCCATTTTGAATGTGACACGTGTTGAGCCCACTCCAAGGATGAGCTTTTCCCACGTGCATGTTGACCATCGCTTGGGTATTTTCCAAGAATGGACGACCCAAGATTACGGTGGCAATGGAGTCGCTCGTATCAATTACAACAAAGTCAGCAGGGAAGGTGAATGGTCACACGTCTACCATAACGGTCTCCACCACATTATCATGGTCTGACGACCATTATGATAGGGCTAAAACCGTAAACTGATGAAAAATAAGGCATTTTCCAAACTCTCAATACTCTATCTAATTAACAGTGCCCCTAACTCAATCACAAAACATCCAAAACTTTCAAACACATAACACTGGCACGGTGATTACCATTCAACCACTTAAACTCATCACTCAACCACAAAAGAGTAGATAAGGAAAAGAAACACAAACCTATGTTGGGTTGCCTCCCAACAAGCACTAGTTTAACGTCTCTAGCTCGACATTGCAGATCTTCATGCTTGTGAGCATGAGGCCTGCGAGAGTGGATCCACCACGGTCTCGGGGTGAAACTTGTCACCTCCCATCTTAAACACCAAAGGATGGCCCTCTTGGTTGGGTACCTTCGTTTTACCCTTGTTCTTCTTTTTTGCAAAAACGCGGTTCATCTTCTCACACCAAGCTTTCATTTTCTTCCATTCAGTTTGATACATGCTTTAGGTCCCTGTTTCACATCATCACAAGGAACAAAAACACTAATGAGGTTCCACTACAACAAATTCGGCATATTATGAAGAGACAATTTTGTCATATTAGATACCCATTTTGTCATATTAGATATAACATGACAAAAGGTGTTGTCACAAAGGTTTGTCATTTTATCGCCGTCAAGATAGGTCAAAGTGATAAAAATTAAAAACAAGGTTGTCACAATTTCTTTCAGTATACATGAGGTTCTTTGTCATTACAATTGTCATAATCTAGTGATTTTGGGAGAATTGTTCATCATATTACACGATTATATTTTGTCATAACTGTACATTGTGAAGACTACATTATGTCACAAGTGTTTATGGTGACGATGTTATTTTGTCATAACTTAATATTATGATGAATAAATTTTGTCATTACTGCATATTATGACGAGTATAAGTTGTCAGGAAGGTGGTTTATTTATCTCATGTCTAATAGGACAACAAAACAATTTGTCAGGCAATGTACATAATGTGACGACATGACATTGTTGTCCCATTTGACCTGCTTAAAAAATTTCATAATTCAAAATTGTTTCCTGTATTGCAACGAATTATGAAAAAATTACCAAAGATCTAAAACAGTACAACCATTTCCATAGCAGTCTAAATCCTTGTTCAACATAATCGAACATTTGTCCATCATGACACAAAATATTATAAATATCCTTTGCGAATCTTCGGTCTTGTTCAGTCCATACTTCCCTTTTTTTCTTGAGGACCTTCTGAACAATCTCACGGTCTGATACAGGCTTCGCCTCTGCATTTGCTTCTACCCAAATGGACTACATCTCCAGCTAGACATTGAACAACAAATGTTAATGATATAGGTTAATTACATGGTTTGTTATGAACTATTCATAATGAAACAAGGCCATTCATGAAAATGAACTCACATAGTTTTGCCTAGGTTCCTCGGATACCCAACTACCGTCTAGCCT